GCAGCGATGCTCAGAGAATCCTTGGGTAGCCGGATCGAGAAGGAAGAGGAAGCGTTGAAAGGCGCCCTCGCTGCCATGGAGCAGAAAAGTGACGAGGAGACGCAGAGGCATAAAGATGTCGAGACGGCCTGGCAAGTCGAGAAGGACGATCTGCTAGCCACCGTGGCCAACAGCGAATGCAACAACGATGAGTTGCTTGGTGAGTTGGACGGCTGCAAGCAGGAGCTGAGGGCCCGTGACGACGAAATTGCGACGCTGAGGACTGAGCTAGCTGCCGCACAACATCGTGCGGACCAAGCCGGCGGATTCCTCGAAGCGGCGGAGGCAGGGAAGTGTGCCCTTGCGATGGAGCGTGACTCCCTGAGGCTTCAGGTGGTTAAGCTTCAAGAAAAGAATGCTGCGGCTGAGGTGGCATATCGTGACACTGAACGCAAAGTCTTCGAACTGGAGGACGATTTGCAAGGGCTTGACGACGTCAAAGAATCGTTCGCAACGGAGCGGGAACAGGTATGCTGGATCCTTTTTCATGGTGTATCGAAGCTTTATACCCTCCCAGCTCAAGGAACGGATCCGAGAAGAAGAAGCTCGTGTTGACGCCATTATTCAACAGCTCAAGGCGAGCGAGAATCGCGTCATCGAGTTGAGCCAAGAGCGACAATATGCCCTTGATAATGTTTCTCGCCTCGAAGACAACATCCGGCGCTCCGAGGATTCTCAGCGCAACCTTAACCGCGCGACCGACATCGAGAACCTTATGGAGCAAATCAGCAGGATGAGAAGAGACCACTCCACAGTACTCGAAGCTGCGTTGGCTAGCAAGCAAAAGGAGATCGACGCCCAAACAACCGCGTTGTTTGAATCCAAGGCCGAGATCGAGCGGCTGAAAGGCCAAACGCGCGAATTGCAGCAGGAGAGTGCAGACAAGGAGGTCCAGATTGTGCAAATCACGAAGCAGCGCACCCAGGACAAGCACGACCTGGAGGGGTTGAACATTGCGCTGGATTCCAAGCAGCAGGAACTCGAATTGGTATGTTTTTGCTGGTTGTGGCTTTCGCGCGCTCACAGACATCTTGTTAGCTCAAGCGCCGTCTTGGGGTTCGCGGGACTGCAGGAAATACTCCAGCGCCGGCCAACAAAAGTACATATCAACGCCGCGAGTCATTGGTGCAAACGACGCCCCGAATCTCGCGTCCGTCTTCCTTCACGTCCGAGGCTGGCGGTGATTCCGGCCGGGAGCGCAAACCTTCGGTGGAAGGTAGTACCAAAATTCCTGCGTTGAGCAAGAGCACGCGGCTTAACACCTCTACGAATGTCGCGCCGACGCCTTCAAAACGCAGTTCCATGGGCCCGCCGCCGCTTAAACCGCGGTCCTCCATCGTGGGCACTCCCACAATTAGCTCCAGAACACTGACCCGCTCCTCGTCATTGGCTTCTACTGCTGGTGTTAAACTAAGGATGTCGAAACCACCGACCCCTCAATCTGCAGAACAGGAGAAAGAAAATGCAGACGCACCGGCTTCCAGCAGACTTAGTAGGATTCCGACACTCGCTCAGTAAATATTCCCCACTCTTTCCGCGCTCATGGCGCGCTCCCTGTGTAAGCTCCGTATATCGGTATTTAATCATCTGTACTGTATTTAACACACATTCCTTACTTACGATAATGATATGCCATGACCGTGATCTGAAGGTTGGAAGGTTGGGACAATGATTACTACTTAGAGGAGAATAAGTATGTGTGAACGGGCGTCTATTTTAGTGATAAGCGCCTAAAGTATCGTGGGAAAAGCGCCTGCAATGATCAATCGCGTCGCTCAAGCATCCTCTCAATTTCATGTCATAGCCCTACCCAAATCGCGACAATGGCAGTGGATGTACTGACGCAGAACCAAAAGTATGCTTCGCGTGAATATCCGAGCTATGTCTTGAATGAACGCTGCCAGACTTTTTGACACGTTTAAGGACAGGTTCTCAATGCCAACTGAGAACTTTGACCCCAAGCGGTACACTTCCGCGTCCAAGAGGTTCGGAGGATGGTTGGGGAGCGAAAAAGCATACTATCAAGCAGCACGGCCGGAGGTTCATGGTTGCATTCTATCTGAATTGCCCCCTGACATTCTATTCAGATTGTAGACATCCTCTCGGTATATTTTATTGGTCTTCCAGTTAAACATGGATCGTTGAAGCGGAACCCCCATCGTTAGATCGCAGAAAGGACCCTCCACCAGGTAGCACTTCAGGAGCCTACTCATTACGCCAAACTAGCCGATGCATACACTCGACTCATCGCCCAGGTCAAGCCGTTTCATAAAAGCTTCCTTGAGCAGGATCTTCACGGTGAATAAATTCCTGGCCCGAGCAGACTGTCCCGAGGTTAATTCTATGACCAGCCATGGTCGGAAAACTCATCGCAGGTGCCGAAGCCGTACAAAACCCTCCTCCAACCGTTCCTCTGACCCCCGGCACGTAAATAAATCCATTATACCTGCCTTGCACTCGAAAGTAATCCATTTCAGCAATGTCGACCCTCCGCCGCGGCCACGTATAGACGCAAGCGAACAGATGCGACCGAGTTCGTCGTCTCTGGCCTCTGCGTTAACACCGACGAGTACTAGTCGAGCAAGTGACGTTCCTCCACCGTCCAGTCTGACCAGTGGAACCACTTCGGTATTCAAGCCAGGTACTTCTTGTACATTCGTTCACCGATCATACATAGGTCCCGGAGGTTCAACCTGGCCCAGCTGTTCCTAGGCCTGCTAGTGCGGGGGCGGCTTCTGGAAGTGGTTTTACATCTGCCCCACCAGATTCGACTTCCACTAAACTTAAACGTAAGAAGAAGAAGAAAAATCACCTCTCCGACGCCATCCAGCTCGACCTTCAGCTTCGTAAGAACAAAACAGGAATAGCTCAGAACTCGTCGGCGGACGCTCAAACCCCAACCACGCCAACGGTTCTTCTCAGAATTCCCGGAGCCCCTGCTCCTTCAGCGTTCCATGAGAATGCGTCCATGGCGAGCCCTCGAACTGCGGTGGACATAGATATTTCTCCCTCGGCTTCGCCCGTGGATCTTTCGGAGCATAACACCCCATCCGGTCCTCAGATTACCCCCGCCGCCAACGCACCTCATCGGGCTCTTGCCCATAGTGCCCTTGCCGATGTCGCTATGAGTGGACAGGAACAGTCCAAAGACGCTGAAATGAACGATTCGCATGCCCAACTGGTGCTTCACGCCTCTGTGCGCGCCGTCCCTTCCCTCTCTGAAATTGACTTATCCAGCCCTCTAGAAAATCGAACCCCCTTCCGCGGTACTGACTCCCGCGATGGATGTGGAGGTCAACCGTGTGTTGCGAACGTTGACGGAGCCGGGACCGACGATCAGGACGATCGCGTCTACTCCCAGCAACAATACGAATCGAACAACAGACGTTGCTGTCACGGATGTTGTTGTCCCAAGCGCCTCGGACGAGGCAATGTCTTTAGCGCCTCACAACACTGACCTCTCTTCCCCTTCTCTTCCTCATGTCGATCCTTCTCGACTGACGCCAGAAGCAATGGATACTAACGTGACTTCGATGGAGGGAACCTCGGACAGCGCTGCAGGCGCAGATCCTGGTGTCCCAGATGCGTCTCAAGAACGCGAGCGCAATGATCTGGTCGCGAACCCCCAGCCGGACGATGCCGCGGCCCTCCAGGAACTCATCCAGCATATGGTGAACGACGTCAATAGACTCATCGCGTCGTCGACCGTAAATGTCCGTCCTTGGGTTGGGACTTTATACTTACATATTCGTAGGATACCTCGGGACCGGTGGAGGAGCTACTCACGCCGCCGCCCGAAGAGTCTTGGCCCACGGAGACAAGTTCCGAACTCCCTCCACATCTTCCAGGTTCTAATGGTATTTACCTCGAGGATATCACTCCATCACCAAGTGCGTTCCGCCTTCCAAAATATTTTCGAGAAACTAACTGAATTTCCGCCAGAAACTGGTATCCTGTCAGCTACCATCATAGCGCGCTGTGAGGTAACGATAGATACGATGCCCATAAAATTCCATGTCGACCAAAACCAAATGGACGCGATAAAGAAGTGGCGTGATCGCACGAAACACTCCGAGTGTGTTGGTCTCTCAATCTTTTTTGGCTTTTCAACACTGAGATGCATTATCAAGGGACCTCGAAAAGAGTTTATGCATTACTCTGCTATGCTTTTCGTCAGCCGAAACAAAAGAAGCTCGGGATGCGTCCATACCTGTTTTACCAGCGCTTCTTCCCGAACTTGAATGCGCGTGGCCCCAGACCGGTATGGCCCATTGTCTGTAAGCACCGGCCCTGTATGTACTTATATTCTATTCCAAGGTGGTGTGAGCATGAATGTTTTATGGGACGGCAAGCGCATAGATATTCCCATGGCTCCGCCATTCGCTGTGAGTGTAAATTAATACCATATCCCCGTGCTCACGAATCGACAGCTTCCATTGAACGGATTGGTCGACGTGTCACCATTCCTTGTCCTGGGCGAAAATATTTTCCATATCCGCGAAATGCGCAGCATGTCTAAGCACTGGGTGGTTCTATGCGCTCACCATCCTACGACATCCCAACTTAATTCCGTCGCGCGGCGCCGCTACAAGGAGCGAAATTGGACGGACTGGCTGGACAAACTGTCTCAGCCGATGCAGCTGCCTTTTAGGATACCCATGCAAGTGTAGACCAGTTTTGCATATTTAGTTCCCCCATCTTGTATGTAAGTAATAAAGCCCACTGTATTGATTAACGCATTGTTCGCCTATACATTTTTGATTGTAGCGGAAAATATTTATTTCTCTCTCCTCAGAACGAGGCAACACCCTGTAGCTGGAATTCCTCACTCGTTTCCCAAACCCCAAACACAGCTTTTTTTTTTGATTCCGCGGCAATGTCCGCGACTTGTAAATTGGCTTCGAGCCGGGCCCGAAACGCGTCTTCCTGAGATATATGCCAGGTTGCAGTACGCTTTCAAGGACACTTTAGCTTAGTGGTGGAGCATACGATTGCAAGATTTGAATATCGTGAGGTCCCGTGTTCGACCCACGGAAGTGTCTCTTTTTGAACCCCTTTTGCCCCACCGTTTGACATTTGTAATGGTGTTTTTTGGTCACGAAAAAAGGAACTACATCTTATGACAAGGTTCCCAGAATGGTCGAGACGAAGCAAGACTTGAAGAAGTAAACACGTCGTGGGAATCCTGGCAATTGAGGTCTCTCCTCACCTCAAAGAGCTGCCAAAAGTCTTAGGCCCACGTTTTCTCAATGTCGCCGTTTGCCAGCGGTTCGTTCACAAGCAACATTCACACCGCTGATGGAGTGTTCATATCACTGTTAATTCGCCCTGCATTTGTTCAGGTACATTGCAGTAGTTAAATTGTGCTAGGTCGGCTAAGGGTAAAGACCAACTCATGATGTTGAATAGACTGACACAATGCACGGTTCATTGTATTTTAAAGAGGTATTGTCGGTCGCGAATAATGCCGCTGATCGACTCTTGTTTCAACTTGAACATCAGAGTAACATCAGCCACTCGGACACTGCCCCGGACTTGACGTCGAGCTCGGTGGCCTTAAAGACGACAGCGCACTGGTAGACGCAAAGAATCCGTAAAAGAGTCCTGTTACACGCCTAACGATCCTCGCCTATTTTTTCCAATTTTCGGTCCACTATTTATCGACAGGGAACCATCAAGGTCCTCGTTCATCCCATGGCCCTACCGTCTCGTTCATTTGATGTCGTAATCGTGGGAGAGGGTGGTGGTCCGGACGAGACGAATCTGAGCGCGTAGGTGTTCTCCGCGTCTCTCGACGCGCTTCCAACCCACGTGGCTCACGCAGTGCAGATACTTGTTCAAGGCGTCTACTGCTTCCTGGGAATCCGGGATAGTGGCCTTGGAGGCAGGGTCGGGCCAGGGAGCGGTGCAGAAACTCCTCCAACGCGACCCTGATCTTTTCAATTCACCGGACCAGCCATCGGCGCGTACAAAACCATACTCGGCCACAGAGATCTACTCGCTCGTGCGGTTCGTCGTTATCATACTAGTACCCTGCGAATGCACTGCTCATATAGGGATTAGTTGTTTCCTCATATCACACGCCCACCTCGACCACGTCAACAGCCTCGTTATCTCTGCTGGATCCCTGAGTGGCCCGCGCAAACGCCTCTGTGCTGCGAGGCAAACCCTCACGGACCTCGAGAGCGTGTTTTCCGATCGCATTTGGCCCAACTTGGCTTCCTGGAACGAGGATGATGATGATCACAAGCTCCTGTACACCGCGTAAGTCCCCAAGGTCTTGGTTTCCGGACTGCAGCTCATGTCTCCGAAAGCCTCGGTATGAACGACGCGTACGAACCCCTTATTACCGACGTCTCGGTCCGCACCTTCCCCGTGAGCCACGGCCACAACGTCGCAGGCAATTACGACTCGGCGGCATTTTTTATTCGCTACGACCCGACTGGACACGAATTCCTCTTCTTTGGTGACCTTGAGCCGGACGCGCTCTCGCTTTCCCCGCAGACAATCAATGTTTGGCGCGCTGCCGCCACGAAAATCCCCGCATCACTCGACACCATATTTATAGAGTGCTCTTGGCCGTCCTCTAGAAGCGACGACGCGTTATACGGCCACCTGAAGCCGGAGCACCTCGCCAACGAGCTAGAAGCCCTCGCAACCGAGGTTGTGAAGGTCCGGAATGCTACGCAGGTCCCTGGCTCGCCCGCGCGTCCGGTTCGCAAGAAGCAACGGACGAACGCCTCGCCTCCGAGCGATGTGCGTGGCGCCTTGACGGGCGTGCGGGTCATCGTGACCCACTGCAAAGACACGCTAGATGGAGCCCCGGACCGACCGAATCAGACACTCATCATCAAGCAGATAAAAGCGCTGGTGGAAGAAAAGGAACTTGGAGTAGAGATTTTGGCAGCCCAGCAAGGGATGCGTATTCGTGAGTCGTCCTTCCTCCTGATTCCGAACTCGAGGCTCATCGCGGTGCCAGAGGTATAACCCCCACAGACGCTTGCTTATTTATTTCTTCAAATACCTGTCCGTCGTCAATTCGCTGTATAATTAGCCCTCCTGTAGCTGTAGTATTTTCAAACCTTTGTTGTTTACGTACGAACCACGCTTGTTGCCCCCGCTGTGGCGCTCTCATCAGTCATAACAGTCGTTAAAACATAACTATGTACAAGAACTGGAGCGAAAGAAAATTCCCGTATGAACATTCTAATTATAAGCAAAGCTATGGTGCAAAATGATCCACAACGAGAACAAAGAACATCGAAAACAGGACGTTACGATGAGGCGTAGAGCTTTACGACACCGTCGGCGCCCGCGCTGGCCATGAAGGGCAGTGACGGGTGGAACTCGACGTCTAGCACGCCCTCGCGCGCTTTTTCTCGGTGCGTCGTGATCTCCTGCACGCATGCGCGCGAGCCGAGCAGATCCCAGAACCGCACAGAGCAGTCGTGGCTCCCAGAGACGAGCGAGAAGCCGGCGGGGTCGATGGACAGCGATGTGACGCCGTCGAGGTGAGCCAGCATCGAATGCGTGCATTGCCCTGCGTAGATCATTCATTCAGCCAGGGCTGTACTGATATTCGTCCAAGGAAACAAACCTGTCACGATATCGAATATCCGAATGTACTTGTCCTCGTGTGCGGTAACAAGGAGAGACATGGTGGGATGCGAGACTATCCGGTTTATCTGGGTAGCTGGCGTGCCATCTGATAGAAATAAGATCCTGAGCCCTACACCCGATGATACGTAACACACCGTAACTCATGTCCGTCGATAACCTCGATAGCTCCTTGCCGTTCTCAATGTCGAAGATCTTGACGACGGCATTTTGGTATGCGACCGCGACCTTTTTCAGGTCGACCTTGAGCGCTTCGACCGCCGTGGCGCCGGGGGCGTCCAGGTCCTCCTGGAGCTCGTCCGCGTTCTCCAAGCCCGACCACGCCCATGTGAGCTTCAGCGACCCGCCGCCCGACGGCCCGCTGACATCCCACACCTTCACCGTCCCTTCTGCACCGCAGCTAATCAGCGTGCTCTCGTCCCGAACGAGTGCGAGGTCCCACACAGCGTCGGTGTGCCCGATAAGTTCGCCGCGCGCGCGGGTCTCGTCGTACGGCGCGTATGTCGTGTGGGAGGGAGAAGGAAGCGCCCAGACCCGGATCGACGAGTCGAGCGATGCGGAATACAAAAGCTGCTTTGACGGCGCGTGTATCAGCCGCGTAATCGCTGCAGAGTGGCCGCGGAGAGTCAGTTGTGGTTCAATTTCAGTGGTCGGTCGTGAACTGCAAGCACGAGTCAGCGGACGTCGCGAGCGGTTTTGGAAACGCACGCAGAAGAAGCGAGACCGGTAACATCTACCCGCCATATTTTCACCGTACAGTCGTCTCCACCTGTCGCCAGGGACAGTTCGTGCGGGTGGAAAGCGAGTGCACGAACGGCATCCAAGTGACTGGCCGACGGGTAAGCATTTCTAACTGAGGGGAAAGGTTCCACGCACTTTCTCAGTGTCCGTTTTGGTCGCCAAACCTTATTCCCCTCGCCGTCGCTGACCACCGACGACTCGTCCTCATCCACTTCGCCGTCATCTTCCTTGCCCTCGTCGTCTTCAGGCCGCCTGTCCCACCCCTGCTGGTTTTCGCGTGCGAACCCAGCCTGTCGTTCAGCAGCCTCGTGTGATAGCCGCAGCTTCTCCTTCCATTCGCCAGCGTCATCCGGTCGGAAAATCGCGGTCAGCTGGCGCGGCTCAGAGTCAACCTCCCTGTCCCTCTCGCCTGCAGCATTCGACGCCGGGGGCTGTGAGGGAACCACATTCTGCTGCATCATATTCGAGTTCGGGGGGGAGGATTGTTGCGGCTGTTGCGGCATGTGCTGGAGTTGCAGCATGCCTGAGCCGAGGGGGTTGCTCCGTTCGAGATTCGATGCCTGCGACCCAGCCGCGGAGGCGGGGGCGGAGGAAGGACCGGACATTAAGCTTACGTTACCGTTCAGCGCAGGAAAATCTTTGCCTGTCTCGGGCAAGAGTTTCCGCGGTCTGCCATTGAACGCCATTTGCTCAAACAGCGGCGCGTTCGGAAGAGTGAGCGCGATGTTGCCATTGTTGAGTAGCGGTCGGTTCGGCAATGGATTCATCGCCTGCGGCGATGTGAGATACGATATTTCCTGGAGGCATCTGGGGAATTGGGCGCGGTGAGCTTGCGCCGGACACGTGCAAACCGGAATGCCTACTGCTTGAGGTAGTCACGACTCCGTGCTCTGCTCTTTGGATCACGGCCTGGTGGAGGCTTTCCTAACCCTGCGACGGTTCCGGTGGAAGGGCCGTTGGTCCAGTTGGAGCCACCCCATGAGTTTGGCCTTCCGGTTGGTCCGATGGAAGCGACGCCGTTGACGCGGCCGTCTGGCAGCGGGGAATCTGTGAGAATTTAATAAGAGTACTCCGAATAGTGGACGGGACGAATGTACCCTCGCTCCGCGGGGAGCTGCCGCTGCTTTCTTCCTTGTGACTTTGGGCGTCGTCTTTTTGGGACGAGGAAGAGGTGAGGGCCTGTATCGCGGCTAGTTTTGCGGGAGGAATTGATTGGGATGGAGGCGGCGGCTGGGTGAGTTGTTTTGAGCTGGGGCAGGGACACGTCAAGAAATAAATTTACGGTGGATTGTGCAACACATACCGTTCCATGCGCAGGGCATATTCGAGCATTTTTATGCGACGCATAAGGTCGAGTTTTACATTCTCGAAGGAGCGGCGTTCGCCCTCGAGAAGCGCAATGCGAGCCTGTATTCGGAATTGAGATACGCGCCGGAAGAAAGGGCGGATAAACGGACCCGCATTTCTGCGCGCTCTATTTCCCACTCATTCCTATCGCGCTCGTATTTGCGCCATTCCGTCTGAAGGTAGTGGAGAACGCTGGAGAGATTCCAGTCTTGACCGCTCTGAAAAGGCGGGGGAGGGATTTGGTTCTGCTGCTGCTGCTGCTGTTGCTGCTGCTGCTGTTGTTGTTGCTGCTGCTGCTGCTGCTGCTGGCTCTGCTGCTGATTCGGCTGTAGACCCT